CCCCCACCCGGATACTGGTGCAGCCAATCATAGATTAGGCAGGTGGTGGAGGACAGAACTGGCTGGGTTGCTCCCAAGGGTTTTAAAGGTCTAAGCAGCAGCCTTAGGTGTCAGATACTGACCTCCAAGATCCTCGGACTCTGCACCGGTACTGCTTTAGGTGAGATTTCTGTGGGACAGGGTGATGTAGGAGCCATCCCTGAAATAAGCACATCTACCAGCCTTGGGCAAGGGGCAATCAGGAGTCTCTAGCCATGAGGTCTCTTGCATTAGTGGGGAGTCAGGGGCAGTTCCACCCACACATATGAGCAGCGGTGCTCCTTCTGCCCGCAAATCCTCTGTGCTTATGGAGAGGGCAGGATCATGTACAGGCTCTAGTCTAGTCCCGTCCAAGTTGGAGCAGGACCCCAGCCCCAGTGCTGCATCCCACTATCTGGGCCTTGGTACTGAGGCTGGCTTCCAGCAGTTGAGTCATGAGACCCCATTTATTTGGTTGGGGGAGAGAGTGAAAGTGTTGAATTAGAATCTGTGCGTTTTCTCCTGCGCTTGTGCACTTCTCTCATGGGAAAGGAATGAGGAATTTGATTACCTTATTGCTCATGCCCAGTGTGAGCCAGGTTGTTTAATTAGACTACCTAATTCATTCATTGTCCTAGTGGGAATTAGTGCATTGACCTAGTGGGGATTAGGGTGTTGACTAAAATGCTTGCTTGGGTCTTTTTGAAAAGAGAAAAATCTACGAATCATCCCTGTATGCTGCATTGACCTAGTGGGGATTAGGGTGTTGACTAAAATGCTTGCTTGGGTCTTTTTGAAAAGAGAAAAATCTACGAATCATCCCTGTATGCTTCCCTCAAACCCCAAGGAAGGAAGATGGCAAACTGCCTCACCCTCCTGGCCCCTGGGGCTAGGTGACCCTTTTGCTTTTCTCTTAGGGCTGCTCACTCATGACTAACTAACTACCTACCACAGGAATAGTGGATGTTCTCCTTTCTAGTTTCTTTAGAAAAGCATTCCAGAAAGGTTTCATTGAAGCAGTAGAGAATCAAGGACTATCTTACTTCCTGCTATATGTTAGCCAAGGAGAAGATGTGAGGTGGCCTCCCACTACTGGGAATCCCTTTCCTCTACTTGAGATCAGATGTCCTCATTAATGAAGTTTTGCCTGGGTAACCTCAACACTGTTGCTGGAAGACCTAGACTGACCAGTTCCTATTTTCCTAGTTGTTTCCTTAAGCTTCTGACCCCTCAGGTACCTTTATGATCTTCTAACTTCAGTAGACGTTGCATACTCTGTTTCAATCGGCTCCAGGCAGGCTGTTTTTGACTTTGCTGTCTCAATCACATACCTGTCCTTAGTCTGATCTTCTTTTCTTTTTTTCTCCACATTCTTAACCTCTTCCAGTGTCCTTAGGAAAATACACGGCAGATTAATGTAATATATTCTATCGTAGTGGCTGTAATTTCTCAGAATAGACTAAGATGGGTTTTAAGAAGAATTAGTCTAATCATACACTTATTTGTGTTCAATTTCTAGGCTTCTGAAACATGAATCCTCTACTCTTCCTGGCTATCCTTTCCTTTGGAATAGCCTCAGCTGCTCCAACAGTTGATCCTAACTTAGATGCCCAATGGAACCAGTGGAAGATAAAATACAATAAAACATATGAGCCGGTTGGTAACATCCAAAACTGTCTAGAGGGATCCTAGGGAGAATGTTCTTTGCTGTTAGGAGTTTATGGCCAAGAGAAGCTGTTAGAGGCCAGCTCTTTCCAACGCAATAATTTAGTAGCACCACTATGGCATCCACTCTTGCTGTATCTGAGCTTGGAGAGAAGCTCCCAGAAGTATGAAGCCATCCCTGGCCATAGTTATTCTCTACATCTGTCTGCAAAGCCTAATGGTGAGGATGGGTTGGCTTCCAAGTAGTAGTAGAGACCATCACTTATATGTTTACTTTTAGAATAAAGATGTATGGAGAAGATCAGTATGGGAGAAGAATCTAAAAATGATCCATCAGCACAATTTGGAACACAGCCAGCAGAAACATAGCTTCACAATGGAAATGAATGCCTTTGGTGACATGGTGAGTATGCCATGGACTGTTTAACTCTGTGTTTCCTCTCCTTAATACTTTACCAAAATAATCTCTTGCTTTCGAAAACTTTGTTGATTTTTCTTGAAGACCAATGAAGAATTCAGGAAAGTGATGAATGGTTTTCGGAAGCAGAAGCGCAAGACCGGGAACTTGTTCCAGGAATTTATGCATCTTGATGTTCCCGAATCTGTAGATTGGAGAGAGAAAGGCTATGTGACCCCCGTGAAGAATCAGGTATGACAGTGTCAGATTCAGACCTCCATCTCTCCAGGAAGTCAAGAAGGAATTAGTCTCGTGTCTTTGGTGCGTTGTACAACAGCATGTGGCTTGTTATTTGTTTAAGAAAGTATTCAGATGTAACTATTGTCAGTGTCTTGTTATAAATTTTGTGCATGACAACATTTTTTTCCCTTCTCAGGGTGACTGTGGTTCTTGTTGGGCTTTTAGTTCAACTGGTGCTCTTGAAGGACAGATGTTCCGGAAAACCGGCAAACTTGTGTCACTGAGTGAGCAGAACCTGGTGGACTGCTCTATTTCTGAAGGCAATTTTGGCTGCAACGGTGGAATAATGGATAATGCCTTCCTGTATGTTAAGGACAACGGAGGCCTGGACTCAGAGGAATCCTATCCATATGAAGCAGTGGTAATTGAAGCTTCTTATCTTGCTGTTATACCAGCTCTCCTTTTGGAAAGTGAAACATTTTCAGAAATAGCAGACACCTTGTTCAGAATTCATATTTTAGATGGTCAAGCCAATATCTGTCAACTATTAGTACTGTCATTATGACAGCTTTTGCAGAATTCTCTAATTAGTTAGTTAAGATAGACAATCTTTCTTCTATGTAACATGGAGAATACACAAATCACTCTACAAATACTGTTTTCTTCATTGTGAAAAATTACAGGTAACCTAGGGGGTCTCAAAGAAGTTACATGAATTAATTTTCATGATCAAATCAACTGCTGTTAGTTGACTGGTTTCACTTCCTGGGATGATCTATAACAGTTTGTTCTAGGAAATCTTGGGCTGTAAACTGATGAATGTTGTGGTTCTAACTAATGCTCCCCAGTGGATGGCAGTGATTTGGTCTCTTTTCCCTCCACTTATAAAAGGATGACTCTTGTAAATACAATCCCAAGAACTCTGCTGCTAACGACACTGGCTTCGTGCACCTCCCTGTGGAGGAAAAGGCCCTAGAGAAAGCAGTGGCAACTGTGGGGCCCATCTCTGTTGGAATTGATGCAAGCGCTGATTCTTTCCAGTTCTATAAAGAAGGTAAGTATTTTTCTTTGCAGAAATTTATTTACTTATTTGAGGAGGTTTCATTATGGGGCATGTGTGCTCCCCAGAGGGACAGTGAGAAGGAAAGTGAGAAATCCCCCAGGAGAAATGGCCATGCTGCAATCTCTTTTCCTCTTGGGATCTTGGGCACACCCACACAGAAAAACTGTAAAACCACCATGACATAACAGAATGTTGGACTTTTTGGTATGTAAAATTCAGTGTAGATATTTGAATGCAGGTCAGCTGGTGGCATGGCAGTTAAAGTGGCTGGATCCCTCATGGCCAATTGCATGGTTCAAGTTTTAGCTCCAAGGGCTTTAAAAACACTCCAGTCATGAGTATGTAAATGTCTGAAATTTAGAGAGGAGGAAGAAATTTAGAGAGGAGGAAGAGATTGTGGCATGACCATTTTCCATGGGCATGCTTTCTTGCCTTCTCTCTGTCTCTCTCCAACAAGCAAATGTGCCCTCTCGCAAATTTAAGAAAAAAAGATATTTGGGTACATGTATTTCACATAGGTGTTCATTCTATACATGCAGTATTTTTTAATCTTTCCATTTGATATTATTTAAACTTATCACTATGAATTTATGTACTTAATCTTTTAAAGAGCTACGTAATTTATTGTATAGCTTAATTTACTTAAATGTTCTATAAGTGTTTAATTTTTAAAACTTTCCCAATGATTAAAAAAAAAATTATTATTAGATTCTTCAGTTTGACCAGAGAGAGACATAGAGAGGAAGAGTATAAAAGCAAACCTCCAAGTCTGGGACTCGAAAAACGGTCAGCCATGTGAAAGTCCAGCACCTCACCTACCATGCTATCTGACAGCTGCTTTTCCAAAGATTTTTATATCTGAAATTAAATCTGAAAATAGGCTTTGATTCAAATATTGTAGTGTTCTGTCCTTAGAGTGACATCATATCGGTAGAATTATGATTTCAAAGAATTGTCTTTTAGGTATCTAAGCAAAAAGTCCTATTACAAGATGATTGTTAAGCTAACTTTCTTTCTTCCTTCCTTCCTTTCTTTTTTTTATTTTTTATTTTTTTTATTAGAGGTTTTTGCTATAGGGTGCGTGCGCTCACCAGAAAGACAGAGAGAGACATAGAGACAGAAAACGAAAAATCACCCCTCCAGGTGTGATGGCCATGCTGCAATCCCTTCTCCTCTGGGGATCTTGGGCATGCATGCACACATGCTCAGCATGAGTTTAAGCCAGCAGGCCTGGGACTCGAACCGTGGTTGACTACATGGGTATCCAGTGACATAGCCATTACGCTAACTGCTGGTCCCAAGCTAATTTTATTTCTGCAAGCTTTAAATGAGAGTTTAAGTTCCTGACCTTAACAATAGTTCTTATTATGAAGTCTTACGTGGGATTTATGTCATTTTCCTGAATCTCCAGATACCTCTCTTACTGTGGGTGACAGGATGGCTTCCTATGATATGCCCTGGAGCTTTTCACTTGAATATCAATATTACTCTCCTAGGTATTTATTTTGAACCAAACTGCAGCAGCGTAGAGTTGGATCATGCTGTTCTGGTGGTTGGCTATGGCGTAATGGAAGAAGCATCAACTAATAATAAATTTTGGCTGGTCAAAAACAGGTATAAATTGCCAATAATAATTATATTTGAACTTGAAAAAGAAATTTGTATTTGTATCCAGAATTTGGAGACAGGTCCTCAAACCCTTAAACATATTCTTTTTTTTTTTTTTTGGAGAGATTTTCACTGTAGGGCGCGTGCGCTCGCCAGACAGACAGAGAGAGACATAGAGACAGAAAGCGAGAAATCACCCCCCAGGGGGGATGGTCACGCCGCAATCCCTTCTCCTCCATTCTCCTCTCGAGATCTTGGGCACGCACGCACACGCGCCCGGCGCGAGTTTTAAGCCACCGGGTCCGGGACACGAACCGCGGTCGACTACGTGGGAGTCCAGCGACATAGCCATTACGCTAACTGCTGGTTCCCAGACCCTTAAACATATTCTGAAATCCCAAAAGTCTTTACCCTATTTCAGTTGAACACAGAAATACTAGCGTTTGGGGAACCAGCAGTTAGCGTAATGGCTATGGCGCTGGACTTCCACGTAGTCGACAGGCGTT